GCCCGCATTTTTGATTGTACCCGTCGAAATCTTCGATGACAGTGTGTTCACGTTGGCATCTCTTGGAGCCATGGTCCAGGTAAGGCTCGCAAAGCAGGCCTTCGAGAACTAACCAGCACCCTGCGTGGAAAGCACTTTGTTATCATGTTGCTTACTGCTTTCTAATGCTGCCTCCCCACATTAATATTGGCAATTTAAGCAAACATAGTTGGTGGGGGGAGGGCGGCTATTAGTAGTAGTAGTAGTAGTAGTAGTAGGAGGCACATGGTAGTAGTAGCAGTGGAAGAAGCAGTGGTAGTATGGTTTTGGTGGTGGTGGTGGTGGCGGCAATAGGAATGTTGCACCCGCTTAACTAAGGCTACCCGTACTTGCGTCAAGTTTTCAGGGAATTATTCAAGACAGGTAAATGCTTGGGGTACCCGCTGTTTTGTCAAAAGTTGGAGGTTTGAAGGGTCAAACGCAAGCGAAAGCTCAGATGCAAGCTGTTCAATCTTTGCTACTAATACAAATACTAATGCTAATCTTCATACATATGTATATATGTTGATACTAATACTACCGATACTGATACTTATACCATTACGATTCAGCTCGGACCCTCGAGCAATTTTGATTCAGGACGCCCTGAATTGTTTGGGGGGGACCCCCTGATATTGAAGAGGGTGCAACATTAGCGCATGCGGCCCCATCGGGCCATGGGTTTTTCTGCGCTCCTGCGTTTCATGACCTTGCCACTTTGCGAAGCTGCACAACGTCTGTGTTCCAAGTGTATGCCGCTCTCAGAGCATCCTCGCCCAAACCACAAGAGTGATCGCCTTCCAAGTGTATACGGTTACGAGAGCGCGCCTGCCCAATCAACAGTCGCGTCCGCGTTCCACGTGTACACGACTACCAAAAGTTACCAGATATGTAGTAATGTTCATGTTCCAAATGTATACGGCTACCAGACCACCCATGCGCAAACCACCATAGCGTTCAATTCAACGTGTACGCGATTGCAAGAGTTTTCAGAGCAGCCATGCCCAGATCCCAGTAATGTTCGTGTTCCAGGTGAAAACGGTCGCCAGAGTATGCAACTACTACCAATGCTGCTACTGCTACTACTACTA